ACACACACACACACACACACACACACACACACACACACACACACACACACACACAGGTAGCCTCAGGGGGCTAAAATTCCCCGTTCATCCATGTGATGCTAACACCAAAGAGAGGTAGCGCTCAGGCTAACTCGCTTCACTAAAATAAAACAGAAAATGTCTGAAAGTCTGCGTCTTCACAAACTGTTTCTGATCAACATCATTGACCTGACAAGTCCAGAAAAACATCCGATTTCAGCATTAGATCTGTGATGTTCATAAAATATCAGAACATCTGCACTCATGCAGTGAGTTCATTTGATTTGACCTGAGATGTCTGAGGTCATTTAAATTTATCATATCAAGACACACTCTCCCTGTTGGCTGATATATTTTCACTTTGTCCTTGTTTATGTCTGTTGAAATCTGGAATTCGGAAGTGTATAAATTAGACAAATAAACGTGCTTCGATTGGAAATTTTACAGTGAAGTGGTCAAACATAAATTTAGCACAACACCAGGACCTGTGAGCCGGTTTCACTCACACTGAGAAATCAGTGAGTGAATTTGAAGTCTTATTTAAATCTAAAGTCTTAGAATAAAGCTTCATTTTCAAATCAGACTATCAACATTTTAAAACCACAGCTGCTCTTCTGGGCGTCTTTCAGTTCAGGCTTTTGGTAAAAACATGCAAAAATATCTTTAAGATAATCTTAGAGGCCTTGATAAAAAGGTCAGTAAGTTAAAGTACACGACGCTGATGTGTTGTTTTAAAGACATCAAAATAAAAAGCGACAGTGAGATGATTCGTTTGATAGTTAAACTCATTAATGCTCTTTTTATTTTTTATCTCTAAGAAGTCAGCAGGGGTGATTTCAGGAATTTCAGGGCCCCTGACCGGTTATGACACGGGGGGCCCCCCTCGCTCTGATGCTTTTCACCTCATGCATTAACTCATCATCTCACCTTCCTCGACCCCCATTTTCACCGCGGGGACGTTTCCAGGAAGCCAAACTCGCCTTTAGGAGGTCAGGAGCTTCACCTGTGATTCGCCCCGCGGTGTTAATGTGACTTTAAAAACATTTCTCCTTTGATCGACTTTTCACACCTCGTCTAAAAGCATACAGAGCAGACAGGAACCACAGCTGAAGTGAAGATCTTTGTGTGCTAAACCAACAAAATTCGGCCAAATTCTTTGTTTTTCAAACGCACAGCAGCAAATCCAGCTGACGACGTCGACCGTCCGCCATATTTTTTTTCCTTCTGACGTTTTATCATGTAACTTTCTGTGAGCTCTCGGGTCTGTGAAACAGTTACAACAAACTTAAACTGCGGGTGTGTGGCCTCCCGGTCTGGTCGAGTCGGCTAGTGAGCGCGTTCAGAGGATCATAAAGTAAACAATCGGTTGAAACTGTATTTTTGTCCGTGGTCTCCCTCGTTTAAAAAAAAATCGCTGAAGATTTAAAAATCTTCGAGTGTGTGGCTTTAGAGGACGGACATGTGTCAGGAATGAAGAGGCCAGGATGTTCTATTTTCTTTCTCACAGATAGACTGTAATGAAAACAGAAATCGGTTTATTCAGCTCGTTGTGCTGACTTTCTTTAAAATCTATCAATTACATTTTTTTGAAAGCCAGAATCTGGGTCACCGTTTCAAATCCAAACATTTGATGTTTCAGAGAGTGTTTATGTGCTCTTAGCCCCTCCCCGTCGGTGTACCGCCGCCCTCCTCACGAAAAACCTCTCCTCTAATTTTCCCTCTTAGCTTTTCCTTTTGGCCTGCAGAAGAAAAGAAAAAAAAAGCGCCCCGTCAGAACGCGGCTGTGATGAATTGATTGGATAATTTCAACCATACGGGAGCATTCAGATGCGATTAAGGTAACGAGACGGCATTTGTCAAAGGTTACTGCGGCCGGTGGCTGCAGAAAGAAACAAGGCATGCCTTTGTCAGCGGCGTTCGGTGTTCTGCAGGAGAAAGTGAAAACGAGACCGTGATGGAGGAGAGTTATTTGTCCTACATACTGCTTTGTTTTCTACATACATTCACACCGGGGTTCACATGCTGCACATTCACACAGGGGGGTGTCACAGGTCGCTCTACCCTGACGGGGCGGGGGGGTCAGCAGGAACAGAGCAGCTTTGTTAGCTCGTTGAGTAAATCAGGGACACGTTTCTATTGTTGAACATCCTGTGACTCAATAATAAACTGGATGAACAGACGAGTGATTCACTACCTCTCACTCCTCGTTCCACCTCAACTCTTTATACATTCAATTTCGATCCCAAATTCCAAATATTCTGTGCGCGCCGCGGTCAGCTGTAACCACATCAAACGAGAACTACAAGATCACGCGGGAATACAGAGAAAAATGTTCAAACAACAAGTTGCTTTGTCTTTCTGAGGAAGATTTGTTGTTCATTCGGTGCCTCTTTTGATGTTATGTTGATAAAGTGATGAAAAATACGATCGTGTTTCATTTTGAAATTGTGCATTTCCTTGTCTGACTTCCTGTTCGGGTCGTTCTGTTCTGTCCAGCATGACGCGTGCTTGCAGCCAACTCAGTCTAAAAAAATAGGCTTGCAAAGTAATTTGAAAGGGAGCAGAGCGTAGTGGAGCTCTGGAGACGGGCCGCGGCGCTCGCTGTGGAAACCAAATCGTTGACTATAGTAGCAGCAAACATCAGGGTGGTGCTGTGTGAAGTATGTGGAAATCAGGGGTGACTGTGTGTGTGAATGTGGAGTTTGCGCTGTGCCGTGCTTCCACACGCTGAAAGCCTGAAACGCAGAGGGAATTATCAAACACGGGGCAAGAATATTGTGCTGGAATCGACGGCTGTGTGAAGAAATCAGTTTGGTGTCCAAGTGGGGTGAGGGCGACTCTTTGTAGGACACTTAGTGAGTAAAGTTTGAGATCTCTTGCTTCCAAAGTCCACCCTCGAGGAGGTTTTAGATTTATTCTCAGGCTCACATTAGAAGATTAAGTTTCATGTCACTTTGAACGATGGCCGTCTTTCTCGACTTCCTCCAACAACGGCCAGTTTGTCCGTCCCCATGAAACAAAAATAAAGTCCCCTTCATTCTGTTGCAGCAGATCTCTATTCTGAGCTCTGTGTGGCTCAGACATGATGAATGCAAACAGTCGTTTTAGAAGCTGCTATTCTTTGATACGCAGGGTTTAACCTTTCTCTCAGTCTGAGCTAAAAGGAGGGCTCAGGAAAAAACCCCGGTTCCTCTTCAGAGTTAAAGTTCAGGGGCTTTTATTCAAATAACACGACCTCCTTTAGTTCACAATGAAGCGTTAATCAAACATGTAACATTCTCTTTTTCAAAACCACCATGGACAACCTGCTGCGTCTGAACACGTGTTTCCAGTACACCGTGTATTACACTCAAACAAGTTAAACATACCTGTCAATCAACCCCCCCAACATGTTTTTCACACCAGTGAACCTGGAGCTCAGCCTTCAGTGTCGTCTGCTTTTAATAAGTCAGAGAAAGAAAGACAAACCTTTTCTGACAGAGTATGTCCACAGGGAGCATCGCTGCAAAAACTCCACATTTATTTCAAGATCGGCTTATCTTGTGCTGACAATGGACGGATGCTTAGTTCAAAGGTCAAGTCAGCTAGTTTTAGAGAACCAAGGGCGATGTATTTGATTTATATTCAAGCTCTGAATCACTAAAAAGTAGAAGAAATAGACACATACATGAAGCTGAAATGGCTGAAATGTAACACTGAAAAAAACTACACTGCAAAAACTCAGATCCAAGTGTGTGTGTGTTTATTTGTTATGAAATAACCAGGGCTGTCAAATAATTAAATTTTTTAATCACGATGAATCACATTTTAATTGCATGACTGAAATTCAATTGTTTTCGCATTTTAAAATGCAAATTGTAAGGCTTTTATTTTGAAAGTGTGTACTGTCTTAAGCTCAGAGTACTTTACTTGCTGTGTGCTTTTATTTTGAAATGAAGTAAGGCCCTTCCTGTAGAGTGAAGGTTAGGACATGAAGTTAAGCATAGAAACAGGAAGTGGTTAGGGATCCCAAACTGAGGTCAAAACAGCTCAAAGGAACGGTAACAAAGGTCAATGTGTGATGTCATAAGGTCAATGTGTGATGTCATGAGGTCAATGTGTGATGTCATAAGGTGGATATGACTTTGGACTCGTCAGCTGAGCTGTCTGAGAGTTTGTTGAAGTGAAATGAGACATCCAAAGATGCAGCAGTGTCCTTCTTTTACATCACTGAGACTACAGGGAGACACTGAGGACCACTATCTACGGAGAGCCTGAAGGGACAAAACAACATGAGATTAATCGGTATTTAACTAGATAATCAGCTGTTGTATTACACTTAACATATATGTCCATGGAGTAAGAAAATTGTATTGTAAACCCAATACTAGTCATTTAAATCCTAAAATATGTCAAACAGAGCTGTGTTTAGAAACACCAGAATTCCCCTTTAATAAACACAAACAGCACTTTATCCTGTTTAAGTAGTTTGATTTGTTAAAAGTAATTCTGGTATCTTAAAATCCCGACCTATTCAAAGACATCTTATTTACTGTTCTGGCATGTTTCAAACTGGAAGAAGCTCCAATCTTTTTTTTTTTTATCAGTCCATGATGATGTCAAAAACAATCAGCAGCTGTGACCGTTCAGATCATTCACTTTCTTTGCATCCTTTTTTTTTTTTTCAAACTAAGACGAGAATGTTTTTCTGACCGAGCCATCACCTCTTATCTGTGTGTCTAGACGTCTTATCTCCACTCTTATGTAATGAGTGAGCAGCATCAGTCCTTCATGAGACGTGAAGCAAAGCTTTAAAGAGGAGGCGGAGTTCCCTGACAGACGGAGCCGTCAACAGAAACACTGACACATGCAGGTAGATACACTCGGCTGCCTTTCCCTTTAGTTTGTGATTTGATGATGTTGTGCTGAGCGTCTCAAACACAGCAAACAATAATGTCATTCTGAAGAGAAATCAGCAGCACTAGAAAACCGTTCAAACTCACATAGATGTGTCTCTGCTGGTAGCGCAGGAAGAGGTTGTGCATGATGGCGCCGTCGTGGAGGTCCTCGAGCGTCGCCATGTCCTCCACCCCTCTGATGCTGCTGTGGTGCATGGGCTGCACCTTCTGTCGGGTGAGGGCATTCTGCTTGTAGGTGTACACCTGGGTGAGAAAAAAGGAAAACGAAGACAATGTGAGCCTATAATAAAAATCACTCACATGAGTCAAAGCTGATAAAGAGGAAAAACAAATCCTTCCTCTTGCGTCATGTACGGTTTGAAACCCGTTTTCTGATGTATCGTGTAACAGGCGTAATGATTTGCATAACCAGGAAGTTCTTTCAAGCTAACATCAGCAATTTCCTGATGCAGCTAATGGGTTTTCAGATACAACAATCTGACGGCCGTTTTGGACGCCCCTCAGTTTGTCAGATATGAGAGCAGTTATCAGGTCAACAGGTGTTGCAGCGATGGAAGCGGGCAAGAGAAGTGGTTCAGATAGAAGTGATTGTACCCGACCTAAAAAGCCTCTGCATGTTTCTAATAAGCTCCACGAGCAGAAACGTGCTCAAACTAGGATCAATATTGGAGATGCTTTTGAAAAATGGAGAGAGGTTAGAACACAGAAAGGTTTACAGACCCATGCAGAGCTGGATAAACACTGAAGCTTCAGAGTCCACCACATGGTGACCTGTGTGAGCATCGACTCTAGAGAGGAGGAGGGGGAGACAGCTCTCTGCAATGTTTAGAATTTAGACTGCAGTACCCATTTCAAACACCAGGTGTCACAGTTACATACTGCTCCTTTAATCAGGCCTTAGTTTTCCATGAAAATATTCTAAAATGGGTAAATCCCATTTGCCCAACGCTTAAGGATGATTTATTTCCCAGAAGGTAAAAGGCTTTAAAAGCTCAGGACGACATCCAACCAGCAGAACAGTTTCCTGCAGAGTTGTTTACAGTGCAGTCGGTGCGTGTCGACTTCCTCCTTCAGTCGGCTCTGGTTGTGGCTCATTTGCTCGCCGGTTTTAAGGCCAGAGGTCGACATGAGACCACAAGTATTACATCCTCGTGTTTAGATTCAGTTTGCTCCATTTGGTTTGTTCACGACGGAGTGAGCTGATCCAGATAAAAGCAACAAGACTTTTCATAAATGGAAATGAATACTTTTATTATGGCATCTCATGTAGCATCTCAAGGTAGTGATTATGATTCAGTGAGAAGGCTCTACACGACGGACAGCTATGACAGAGGAAATGGAAGAAAGTAACACATCTATGATGATGTCTCTGGCCTACACCATGAGCCACTCCAGCTTTCACATTTCAGGGTTTAAGCTGAATTCCAACCAACATCCTCATGGATAATTAAAGTCTCATGGGTCAACTTGTCAGGTTGGATAAACGGAAATATGTAGAATATAAGTCCAGTAAACTCACATCTCTGGTTAATTCTCACATGATTTTAAAAAATAGTCTTTGAAGGAGATTCACCTCAAAGGAACAACCATATTTACTAAAGTTGCAGATCTCAAAGACGTCTATAACCATCATTGAAAAGACGTTTAATCAATGACCATCTGAAGGCGTTGATTGAACTTCCCCCCTCTGGCTGTTGGTATGTTTTTGTAACATTGATTATATCCTGTGGGCAGACTGTTAACCTTCCTCTTCATGTTTAAAAAACAACTCCCTCCTCTCAGCTCATATTTCACTCCACCTTGCACACAGGTGAGGTGACATACGGCAGACACTGACAGCGGAGGTAAATACGACCCTGTTCTGGTAAAATGAAACGGGAGCAGACGGCTGCTTATCATCTGTGTCCGAGGACAAGGCTGAACAGCTTCTAAAGACTAAACTCTGTGGCGTATGTTTGTCCTTTAATGACGAGACAAAACAACAGATAACAGATTTGGAACACTTTTGTGCTGATACAGCAGAGAATAAATATCTGTGACGCTGTGTCATGACACTGAAATGATTCCTTTTACAATGCAGACTATCCCTGATCTTAATTTATCCACTTGTATTTAATTTAGCGATAGTCTACTCACCCAGAAAGTCCTACAGTACCACACTATCTAAAGTTGGCAAATTCTCTGGGAGATCATCATGACGGATTTGCATTTTAAGGTGTATCACTAAGTTTTTAGACACAGAGCTTCATTACTTTTTTTTCAGAGTTTTAAAGAAACCCTGAAGGGAAGAAGAAGAAAAGTTCAGCTTGATCCTTAATAACTTTAGTGAGATACTCTCATGAGTGTCTGCGCTTTTTCTATCATTGATGTTCCTCGTTTTCCTGCAATGTAAAGAAGGGATTCACCTGCAGGACAAAATGTGAAATCTCAGGAAAGTTCCCCTGGATCTCACAAAAGTTTTTCTGGATCGATCTACATTTTCCTCCTCTCCATGTCTCTCTGTGGACTCTGTAGAGTTTAACCGAAGAGGCTTCCCTGTTAACATCAGTCAGTCATTCAGATATCAGTCTAACCTGAGGCATATTTCTATATTCTTTTTTTCTCATGTCTAAAAAGTACTTCGTACAAGTTGACTGACACGAGAAGGAGAAGATTCTGTTGAAGGGACTTTCTCTACTGTTGAATAAAACAACCAGAGAAAAATAAACCAGAAAAGTAGAAACGTCTTTAAAAATCTTCTGTCCAAGTTTTTCTTGCATGCTGAAGAGTTTTCAGTCAGTGTTTTTCTAAGCCTTCAGACAAGTGTAAAGACTGAGGTCACGTCTATGAGGAGAACAAACTCAAGTCAAAACATTTGACAACAGTCTCAATATTAACACCAGTATCAAGAAGAGAGGACAGTTTATCTTGTGCATGTGTCTAATGGTAACAGATGAGATATAAAAGGGTCCAGAATAATCTTTAGACATGAGAGATACTCAAAAGGTTAGCTTGTAAAAAAAAAATCATGTTCCTCTCGTTCACAAGTCAGAGATCAGAACTTCCAGTATTTAGCCCGTGTACTTATTCTGAGTAATCAAAATATGATGAACTGTCCTTGTCCTGTATTTGACCCTTCCCTACTCGTATCAAAAGGCGTGCCCCAGGGTTCAATGTTCGGACCACCATTATTTAGCATGCATGTGAATAACGTTTCTGATTTATCAAACGCATCGTTCACTTTTATGCAGATGATGCTCTTATATATTTCCCCCTTTTCAGTTGCAGCTCCTCAAATACTGATGCCTCCTGTGTTGTTCAAATCAATTTAACTCAACTTTAATTTAAATGTTGTTACATGCAGAAAAGTCCAAATTCATATCTGCCTCACAAAACCATGTATTTTTAGTATTAAAATTTGATGAATGCAACAACAATGGCTCTAGAGGATCAGATTTAGAGTGGTAAAATGCAAGAATATCATATACTCCAAAACACAACAAGATCATCATCAACGCCTCCTGCAGAGATTTCTCCTTAAAAGAGTGACATACAAGCAGACACTTGAAACCTCAGGGTAGTCCCTGTCAAATAAAGAAAGTACCAGTGAGGTTAATTAAGAGAGGACCCCAATTTGTCAGCGCTCTGCAGGAGGTCTGCTGCCAACAGAAGGATGCACAGAGACCACTGAGAGGGGGGGGGGGGGTCCTCTCACTATAATGATCTGACCTCCAGCGTCACAGAGGTTCAACGGAGGACTATCAAATATCTCAGCAGACAGACCAAACCTCAAAGAGAGTAACTCTTTGGCCTTAAGTCAGACAGAAGATTTTCCGACTATTCATGGCTTCTCTGCAGTAGCTGGTATTCACATCCTGTAATTTTTTCTGCATGTTTTTACACCGTCATACTTTAACCATGCTGGCTTCTGGATGTAAGCAGGAGAGCAGCCGCACCAAATGCTGCATCAGCCTTTTCCAAAAACAGAATCACCACAAAGAATATTCAGTAGCACACACAAAGCAACAGGTTGCCTGTGACCGTGAAAAGCAAAACAATGTATGCCAATGAGCCTTTGTCACAGCTGTATTTACATTCAGGTTTTCAAGACCAACCGAGAGGCGATTTTTCCTTTTCAGGGGATTATTCAAATAGATTTAGCCCTCAAAAGGATCCAGTGTTACAGAGTCAAACCAAAGAAACATTGGAAGGAAAAGATACAAGTTTGGTAGTTCCTAAATAGGCTGTTGTCATTTGGTGTAATGACAACACAATGAATGACAATTCGCCATAAAGACGGCCTTGGGCTGCGGTAGGGGAGATGGATGCGTCAAACCACTCAGAAGTTTCACCAAGGTGACAAGGTTTGAGTCTAATCCGTGTCACAAAACAATCGTATGATGTGTTCTTAGCCATTATCTGGACTTATTTTTGCTTAAACATAACCAACAGTTTGTCACTGTCAGCAACAAAGCGTATGCATCCTAGACCGCATAAAACATGGACGTAGCCTCAGTGACGTCACCCTTTTGAAGCCCAATGATGGCAGTAGTCATGTTGGATATGCTGTCTCAAAACTAATTTTTGGTCAACCTAGTAATAGACAAAGAGATTAGGGCCTTAAGCCTTCTGGAAAACAGGGAATACACGCTAGCCTGAGAATTACCCTCAGCTCGCCCAAAATTATGTAAATTCATGCAAATGTTTTTTTGCCTTGATCTAATCAAATGAAACAAGTTGTAAAAAATAACCCCCAGTACGGTGTGTGCCAATAATGAAACAAGCTATTGATACCAAATCCAGTTTTGAAACAGGTTGTAAACATGTTTATTTCTTCTGTAAGAATGGACATTTTAATATGGGTGTGTATGGGACTTTTGGGGCTTCTGCAGCTAGCCTCAAGTGGACACTCGAGGTAACTGCAGGTTTTTTGCACTTTAACACCAGAGGTTGCTGCTCAGTCAGCATTTGACAACTTAGTTTAAGAATGTGTTGGAGATTTGTAACTTTGTCAGAGGATATGTTCACATGATTTGTACAAAATAAACAAAATGAAGTTTCAAGCTAACCTTTAACACTGTTTAAGTTCTGGCGCCTTTTTCCAAATCTAATAGTCTGGTTCATGAACACACACACACAAGAGGACAAAGAGAGAGAGACACACACACAAGCAGCAAGAGAGAGACCTCTGGGTTTGTGTCCAGTTGTCCGTTGAACTGCTGTCACTGAACAGCTCAGGGCAACTCTTCCTAAAGAAAGCAGGC